CTTCCCTGAGCAAATGATATTTGATAAATAATATTCTAGTAATAGATTGTGTTTGTGTTATAAAATTATAAACAGATCATTTTAGTGAATTTAAAAAAAGTATTTATTTAGGCTGCTCCGGGTCTTAGTTTTGGCACGCGGAATCTTCACTGCGGCATGCGGACTTCTTAGTTGCAGCATGCATGTAGGCCCTAGTTCCCTGACCAGGGATCGAACCGGGTCCCCCACATTGGGAGTGCAGTCCTACCCACTGGACCACCAGGGAAGTCCCATAAGCAGATCATTTTAAACTTGAGGACCTATGAACTTCTCAGGGGTGCCCCAAAATATTTGAGACCTGTTAAAAGATACATTGGGGCTTCCCTGGTGGCGCAGTGGTTGAGAGTCCGCCTGCCGATGCAGGGCACACGGGTTCGTGCCCCGGTCCAAGAAGATCCCACATGCCGCGGAGCGGCTGGGCCCGTGAGCCATGGCCGCTGAGCCTGCGTGTCCGGAGCCTGTGCTCCGCAACAGGAGAGGCCACAGCAGTGAGAGGCCCGCGTACCACAAAAAACAAACAAACAAAAAAAACAAAAATAAAAAATACATTGGCTCCAAAATATGAAAACTGCCAAACTGAAATATTTAAATAGCTGTAAAATGTAATATATATAAAAACATTATTTCCTTTTATATTCATAAAAATGTCGTTAACCTTGAATGTAACTTGTAGATTAACTTTTCTCACTTCCAAGGCATATGTGATGATGGATGAGAAACCACAGCCAATTGTAAACTAAGTGACCAATGGCGAGACAAATTCTTAAAATCAATTACAAAAAGCTGTTCAAATTTATATTTTTTAATATACAAATAGTATTTAATGTGAAATGGGGATACATTTTAATATATATGGTCTTATGTGGGGTGGATTCTACTGCCTACAAAGGTCTGAAAATTGTCTGGTTTTAAGGTCTTGGGAAGCTTGGGGCAAAGCATCTCAAACCTTGCAGAGCAGCAAATGGTGTGCCAGGACCTGAGTGAGATTGGGGGTACAGATGGGCTCTTATCAGTAGATCTAGGGTGTCACAGGCATTGAGAGAGAGTAGGAAATAGGGAACTCAAAGATGAAAAATTCTTCTTCTGTAGGTCGAGAGAACATCTGCATCAGGAGAAATCTATCCTCTCTGTCGCTCTCCACCTGGCCCTCCCTTTCACCATCATCACTGCCTTTCTAGGTCACCATCTTGGCCCCTTTTCGCACTCCATTCTGATTCTACACGAGTAATGATTTTTAATTCTCAGTGAGTACATGAGCCCTTGAATCTTACACGAGTGGAGTCTGAAGATTACAGAGGAAATGATGTCTTGGGTTTGGTGGGCTTTGACAGCCAGAAAGACACATTTGAGAGGCCTCTCCTGACACTTAAGACCTCACTTCACAGACTGTGGCCTCTCCTAACACCCCAGAAATGTGACACCAATCAATATGGTCACATTTTAATTGGTATTATCCTGCTAAATCTGAGCTTTCCACTCTGTACTGATGGATTCTTCCCATAGTGATTGCTCTATATCTGGGAACTGGTTATTTAATTAAAATACCAAGGACTTAGTCTCTACCCTTGCCCTAAAAGTTGGCATCTTATTCAGAAATAGCAAACCCCACTCATTCCAGCCATAATCCTCTCACCAACAACTAAGCTCATTTTGCCACGCACCATAACATTTCCCCTGCCCCAAGCAATGCTTGGAAAACCCCTCTCCTCCTAATGCCCACAAATCATCACAAGTTATTTTAAATCCTTTTGTATTAACACATTTAACTATTTTCAGATAATCAAAATAACTATACATAAATACAGCACTAAACAAAAACCTTCATTAATTACTAAATAGACAGGTTGTGAATGTAGCTTAGAAAAAACTTATTAATGTGAATAAGCAAAATGGATGTTTCCACAGATGTTGTTGCCAAGACTTAACAGCTCCTCTAACTAGATATAAGACATTAATATAAGCGATTATTATAAAACCCAATTTGTATGTTATCCAGTGAAATTTTTTAAAACTTTTTAGAGACAGTTTTCACAAAGTTAACACTAAAGCGTAGAGTTGAAGAACTAAAAATTGTAAGATATTCCAAATTTAGTTAGGAAGAAATTGAAAATCTATAGTTAAAGATGTACTTTTCTAAAGCTCATTCCTCTCAAGGTCACAAACATCATATTTTCCTTCTTCTCCAGCAGTCTCATGTCTAGCTTCTAGAAAGCAGCGCTCTAACAGCTCTTCTAGAACGCTGTTACCTAAAGTTTATTTTCTAATTTGCATCCAAAATCATACTCCTTAAAATGTTTCATCTTCCATCTCTCCTACTCTGCCTTTCACCAACTGGTAAGCAAGGTTTCTGAACCACAGAATGATCAGTTCTATGAGTCAACTAAAAGATCATGCCAAAAATTTAGCTATCAATGGATCAATACAAGGATGTAGTAAATGGTAAGCTACAGAAAATGATTTCAAGTTCAACTTTTTCAATCAGAGACTTAAATCAAGCATGTGTGACTGGGAGGCATAAAGAAGTAGATAACATGCAGGAAATAAAAAGAACCACCATCAGAGTAAAAATTAAGTCCACAGCATGCAGAACTTTTTGACGTTAACAATATGAATTCAAGAGGACTGCTGTGGTAGGCTGAATAAAGGCCCCCAAAGACAAGTATGCTACTTTATATGGCAAAAGGGACTTTGTAAATATGATTAATGATTTTATTATTTTTTTTAATACTTATTTATTTGGCTGCACTAGGTCTTAGTTGCAGCATGTGGAATCTAGTCCCCTGACCAGGGATAGAACCCGGGCCCCCTGCTTTGGGAGTGTGGAGTCTTAATCACTGGTCCACCAGGGAAGCCCCTGATAAATGATCTTGAGATGGGGAAATTAGCCTGGATTATCCAGGTGGGCATAATGATGCAATCACAAGCATCCTTAGAGAGGTGGAGAGAGCTATCACTACAGAAGAGAAGGCAATGAGATGATGAAAGTAGAGACTGGAATGATGGGGCCACAACCCAAATAATACCAGCAGCCACCAGGAACTAAAAGAGGCAAGGAACAAATGTGCCCTGGAGCCTCCAGAAAGAGACGGGAACTTAATTTTAGCCCAGTAAAACTTATTTTGAGCTTCTGACCTCAAGAACTGTAAGAGAATAAAGCTGTATTGCTTGAAGTCACTAAGTCTGTGGTAATTTACTAGAGCAGGCACTGAAAACTAATATCATGACTAATATGGTTCTCAACAATCAGAATCCAAGATCTGCATTTTTATGTAAAGTGTTTTTTCTTTTTTTTTTAAATATTTATTTATTTGTCTGCACCAGGTCTTAGTTGCAGCATGTGGTATCTAGTTTCCTGACCAGGGATCGAACCTGGGCCCCCTGCATTGGGAGCGCAGTCTTAACCGCTAGACCAGCAGGGAAGTCCCTGTAAAATGTTTAAAAATATAAAAGCACCAAATATTTTTTAAGTGATTTAAATATTAATCCAAATCAGGTCAAGAACAATTTCTCTCTATAAATATACACCAGGTTTTAAAACATGATGATATTTTTTTCTTTTTTTTTTTTTGCGGTACGCGGGCCTCTCACTGTTGTGGCCTCTCCCGTTGCGGAGCACAGGCTCCGGACACGCAGGCTCAGCGGCCATGGCTCACGGGCCCAGCCACTCCGCGGCATGTGGGATCCTCCCGGACCGGGGCACGAACCCGTGTTCCCTGCATCGGCAGGCGGACTCTCAACCACTGCGCCACCAGGGAAGCCCCAAACTACAATTTTTAAGTGAAGATTTACAATTGTTATACAAGATACAGATGGCTTTCATGAGGTCCACTCAAAATAAAGTGGCAAATACACTATTAATGGAATTATAAACTGCTTTTACCAAGGTTTATAGCAGAAGTCCAGATCAGGATAAAATGCTGATTTCATTTAAAAATGAATAAATATTTTACTAATTTTTGAATGGTGATGCTGTAATTAATCATGGACTCTATCTGACATAACATGTGACATACTATCTTCATAGATATAAGTTCAGGATGTCAGTTGTATTTCTCTTTTGGAAATCTGGGTTATTATGAAAACTCGGTAATCTCTTTGCTTAATTACAATAGGTTCTCACACTAGATATAAAGCGTTGTGTACTATAAAAAGAAATGTAAATAGCAGAAAAAAATCAAATAAATGAAGCATTGTAATTAGATTCTTAGCCCAGAGAAAATATCCATGCATCCCCAAACGTTAGGAGTGAGGCTCCTAATTAAAACTTTTAGATGAGTAATCTAATCCTCTAGTGAATTCAGTTGGTAGTTATCTGGTTTTATAGTGTACCCTACACTAATAATGCATATTTTTTCAGAAAAAGTATTTGGATGTTTTGACAACCTCAAATAAATTGCTAAACATGTTGTACCGATACATCCATAGTTCTGCTTAGTGAACAATTAGCTGCATTCAAAAAATGAAAATCTTTCATGCCCAGCATGGAAGAACTATACCAAGAAACCTTTAGTACATTCAAGAAGTAGCTAAAAAATGAAGTAAACAAAATGTAGCGTTTAACTGTGCAATAAAATTATAGGAAGCCTGTAGGAAAAACTAGGGCAAAGTACCCAGGGAAAAATTAATTAGTTCTATTACAATGAATCTGACATCAGTCAGTAAATGAATCTGACATCAGTCAGTAAATAATACAGTTCTTGCTAACAATGCAATTAATCATAGACTTTAAATTTTATGCTGATATTAAGTTAAAATTTTAGGGAACTCGTTAAAAATTTAGGGAACTCCCTGACAGTCCAGTGGCTGGGACTCTGTGCTTTCACTGCCAAGGGCCCGGGTTCAGTCCCAGGTTGGGGAACTAGGATCCCTCAGGCTGGGTGGAACAGCCAAAAACAAAAAACAAAAAACCACAAATATATATATATATATATATATATATATATATATATATATATATATATATATAACTGAGAAACTTGTTTCTAGAAATACAAATTTAACGCCTCAAGTCAGAGAAAAGAAAATGTACACACACAAAAGAACTATAATACCCATGGGAACATAAATTATTAAAAATCAGCTACTTTCCCAGATATGAAAGGGGAAAAAGAATGAGTCGACTATATGAGTCAAAATAATTTTATAAAAAGAAAATTTTAACTTTTGGATCTATACTGGGTAATCCAAACAAAAAGTGGAGCCTAACTTCCTTATTGCACAGAACTGTGTGTTTTCTATTCCCCCCTTCTTAGAACACTTACTTCATAAATCAGTGGTTTGCCAGGCTAATCAGTTTTTTTAATACCACCTAAGTACATACATGTATATTTTCAAAATTCTGTAATCAGTATTAAGGAAAAACAGTAACTGTTTCATTTAGGTCTTACCTAATGAAGTGAGTCAACTTTACAGTGCAAGAGTATGAATGAGATATCAGTATGAATACAAAAGCAAGACTACAAACTGATGTTTTCTTTGGGGGATTTTTTTTTTTTATGATCAATTCCAAACACACAGTACAGGGAAGATGGAATGAGTAAGAAAAAAATCATATTTTATTTCCCTAGTAACACCGAGTTATACTATTCAAAATATGTTTCAAAATATTTAGCCAGATCACCAATCCCAGCCACTGCCTTAGTTCAAATGTTCACTAAGAAAATAGTCAAGCAACAGAAATCCATTGTGAGACTTTGTCTAGAGAGAACAGCTACATTATACTATATATAATTTATTAACTTAGTAGTTTAGTCTCTCAATATTTAGCAAGTTTGTGTGAAAATTACTATTCCCACTGGTTCATAGTAACATTAATATAAATGCATCATTTCAAAGTCAATATTCCTTTCACTGTGAACATAAAACTTCTTAAAAGTTAGTTATGGGTTGGGGTAATGACTGGCTGCTGGGATAGCATTGTTCAAAGCCAAATATACTGGCAGGATCGGAAGGCATAAATATATATACAAACTCTCAGGACGGTACTGTTTTCCACATTTTTGCTGTACATACTTGTCTCATAATATGGTATAAATTATTTCCTCCAATTTGAAAAAAAAATCAAGATGACTACATTTTAATCTTCATTTGAAAACCCACTCAAATGAAAAAGAAGTTCGTTTGTTAATTCTGTTCAAAAGATGGATTTAAATATTTTCTTCACTACATGTACAATTTTTTTTTTACCCTTAGTGCCTTGTTACAACCAGTTTAGCAATTAAGACCTCCAGTGCTTTTGTAAAAAATTGCATTCAGTAGGTAAGATCGTAAAATCTACAGTTGAATCCTTCTTAAGACGCTGAATTATAACAAAGTCCAAAAAATGTATGAGCATTCAGCAATACCTTTGGAACCTATGAATTACTGCAAAAAAATCTTACATGTGCATATAATTCAAACATAAACTTTGTGGGGAAGGGGTGTAAAATAAATACTATAATATTTTTCAGCTCTATTTAAGTGCTGCCTAGATGGTTAGAAGAAAAGATTAATATTACTAATAGTAAGAGTCAAACTATTTTAAAGACTATTCTCCAAGTAGTTAGAACAATTTCACAAAGCAAAGATAAGCACGAGCCTATGCCAGTACATTTTTTCCTGTAGTGTAATTGCTAATATGAGGTATAATCTGTAGGCAATTAATACAAATATAAATAGGTATAAGCCACCACTAAATCACAGTCTGGTGAAAAGCTTCTCAGCTAATGTACTTTGGGGAGAGAGTTAAGGGAAATGAAGAGAAGGGAAGGACAGGGCAGGTTTCCAGTGGGAACATCAATTACACGCTTTTATCATTATCATCTTGTATGTAACAGTCCACTGAACAGAAAGATAAATCCTTTCCAAGTATGCTGGTCTAGAATATACTTTATGTAGCATAGTAAGATTATTTAAGTATTACTAATGCTTCATTTGCATTTATATTTGGACATACACATAATCATATATATATATCAAAAAGTATAAACAGAATTTAAAAACACTTTTATCTCACTTTGGAAAACTTAACAGTTAAGACTGAACTATGTGCTACAGAATTTTCTAGAATATCAAAACTCAGGTATAAAACCAAAGGAAAACATTACTATCTCTTTAGTAAATGGCTTGTGTGAAACCTCAAGCTCACTCATCTTTTTCACAGATGTGTTTATTTGATGAGGATTGTGATCCAATGATTGTTTAGCAGCAATTTTACCAAACTGTAAATTCTTTTATTAACGGGCATTATAAACAGATAATACTAATCTTATTTAAAAACGATGAGTGCCACACCAGTGAATATACAGCTCATGAATAACTTAAAAAGTATTTCCCATTCTAAAAGGTAACACTCAGCATACAAAAACCTATACTAAACAAAGAAGCTATAATATGGATACGTGATTGATGTGTCTAAAATGATATATATACAGTACATAATTAATGTTAATTATGTGATCAGTACATTTTTTTCTATATGATTCCCTTCATGCTTCACTTTCCCCAGAAACTGAATTCTGAACTTCTTCTTCTAAAATTGGTACAATCAGGTTATCCTTGGACATCAAATTATATTTCATCACAAATTTAGTAAACCGATGACACAAAAATGTTTCATTCTGTAGAGAGGGAAAAAAAATATGTCATTTCAATTTACTACTTTTCAAAACCAAATAAATGAGACATAATATCAACATTTACTATTGTCATTCTGATAAGAACGTATCAGGACAATTAGTGAAATATACTTACTTCATATTCATCAAATATCTGCCGGTGATGAAAATAAGCATGTGAAAATATTCTGTAAATCCTACGGCATACTGATCCTAGTTTTGCTACAGATGATTCCTTTATGCTAACCCTAGAAATAGATAAGAAATCATAGATTTATAGAGCTGGACAGATCTTAGGAACAGTATAGTCCAATCTTCTCAATTCACAAGTGCAGAAACTGACACCAGAGAAAGTAAGTGACCAGTCCAGGTCACAGCACTAGTAAGTGGCAAGGGCAGGATTAAAACCCCTGTTCTTCACTCCTGGGGCAGTGCTCTTTCTACCTAACCACACTGCCCAAGAAATTCAGTATTATAGTTCTGAAACGTTGTTAAAGTCTAATGCAATTAAAACAAATCCTGACAAAACAAAACTTACTAAAATATATGTTTATGACATTAACACTGTCCACTAGAGCTAATTAAAACTACTGAAAGAATTATTGTTTTATTCTACAGAATTCAATTCTTTTTCGTGTGTGTGTGTGAGAAATAAAAACTGCCTACATATTTCTGATTTTTAAAAAAATGTACAGAGGATACCAAGGCAAAAACTGTTATTTTTTACCTATTTTATATGAGCCCTTTGAAGTTAGTGATATTGGGGAAAAGTCTCCAAAACTATCCACCTGGTAACAAATATCTTAATAGAATAAAAGGCCAGTCACAAACCTCACCAATAATATATTACAGTATGCACACGCTTCCTCTCAGATCTTAAAAATCTGAAGGCAAGGAAAAGGACTCCTTCAAAAATAAGCAGTCCCAACAGAGAAGAGACTGGTGGTTGCCAAGGGGGAGGAGATTAGGAGAGGGATGGATTGGGAGTTTGGGATTAGCAGATGCAAACTGGTATATATAGAATGGATAAACAAGGTCCTACTGTGTAGCACAGGGAACTATATTCAATATCCTGTGATAAACCATAATGGAAAAGAATATGAAAAAGAATGTATATATATGTATAACTGAGTCACTTTGCTGTACAGCAGTAATTAATACAGCACTGTAAATCAACTATACAATTAAAAAAATATTCTAGAAATACACAGAACATACTTAGAAAAAAATATATAAGCAGTCCAACTTAGGAAAATCTCTTAAGGCATGCTAAGAGGATGCCTCTCTCTACCACAGAGATTCAAGTAAGCAAGTGTGTAAAAATCCCAACTCTAAAGCATGAAGGGAGAGCCCTGGAAAATGATGCACAGCAGCAGGAACTGAACTGGCCTGTGAGATTCAGGAGCTGAGTCCTGATGCCTTTAGTTTAACCACAATCTTAATTTCAAAACTTGAATAATTCTGAACAAGCCAAATATATAATAGGTTAAAAAAAAAAAGTTTAAAGAATACAATGTATTAACAAGCAAACTAGTTTTAGTTTTAAAAACAGAAATCTTTAAAATTAAATCCAAAAACTTTAGCACCATGTTTAAAAGTTTTGTTTACCTGCTGGGAAAATATTTATTGCTATTCAGAAGACATGCAGCACCATCAAGTGTGTGTCTAGTATAGTCTATAGCAGGACACTATAAAAGAAAGGATATAAAAATGCATCAACAAAGAGCTCTACCTCTAAAATTAGGTATATTTATTACTTAAGCATCTTATTCCAAAAACCCTGAGCACAGTCTAAGAAAAAGTTCCTTACAATATCAGAATGACTGTAAAATTCAATGTTATGTCAATAAATAAGGCTTTATTATCCCCTTCAACTATAATACCTGGCTTCTAGAAAATAAGTGAATCAGTCCCCCAATTTCTCACTCTCAATATTGTACCTAGAAGAAAACAATGCTTAGAGCTGGGAAGAACACCTGATTATCTAATCTAACCCTCTGGCTATGAGGAAACTGAGGCTGATCAGTTTGTAGAATATGCACAGGTTTCTTGTCAGATCTTAAAAGTCTATAGGCAAAGACAAGGAATACTTCAAAAGACAAGCAGTCCAATGTAAGAAAGTCTGCTTTTTACGCATGCTGTCTTAGAGGAGGCTGACTCTGTAACGACAGAGATTCAAGTAAGCAAGCATGCAAACATCCCAACTCTGAAGCATGACAGGGAGAACCCCTGAAGAATGATGCACAGCAACAGGGACTACCCTTGACTATTGGTCAATGACTTATGCAAGATGATACAGTTAGGAAGAAGGACTTAAAAACCATAACCCAGATACACCGATTCCTAGTCCACTGATGTATACCAAGTGGCCCAGCAGCCTCTTTCACTTCACAAATACCTCCAGAGATCACTGCCTCCTTACATCTTAAAAAGCATGCCTTATTATGTTGCTGGTACCCTGTTACCAATCTAGCAGCTCTCTCAAAAATTTTCTTCCTTTGCAATTTAATACGAAATCTGAAGTTCCTTTATATTTTAATAAACCTGTCTTACCCTATTTCATTTATCAGAAACAATGAAACCTATCTGTCTCATGGCAAATCAGCAAACCTATTAAAGGAAAAATAAAACTGTAAAGTAATTCTCCTCATTCAGTTCTTCTGAAGGCAGAGAGGGAGAAACATCAAAAGAAAGGAAGACTGAGAATGAACCCGGGAACGAAGAAGGAAAAAATAAACTAGAGAAAGAAATAAAAATGACTCTAGTTCTACCTAGTAATTAGAATATTTTTCAACTGTTGAGAATGAAACTGGTGTTTAAAAATGCAGTAACTACTAAATATGGCTTAGTGTAGTACATGGCAAATACATAAAGATTATCTAAACCAAAAAAAAAAAAAAGTATTTTTCTAACTATACATCCACAGGAATTTACAGCTAGTAGACTCACTGCCTAAAATAGGAACATGAGCAGTATTTACTGAAAAAAGTATCTTTCTCCATATACATGATTACAGGTGACTTGGTCAAAAACAAATATCCCAAGTCACTGTGTTTCTCATTCATATTGGTCATTTGGGTGTACCATGGGACACTTTTACAACCTTTAAGTCAGCATGGAAATATGATGCAAGCTACATATTTAATTTAAAAATTTCTAGGGACTTCCCTGGTGGCGCAGTGGTTAAGAATCCGCCTGCCAATGCAGGAGACACGGGTTCGAGCCCAGGTCTGGGAAGATCCCACATGCCGCAGAGCAACTAAGCCCAAGTGCCACAACTACTGAAGCCTGCGCACCTAGAGCCCATGATGCACAACAAGAGAAGCCACCGCAATGAGAAGCCTGTGCACCGCAATGAAGAGGAGCCCCTGCTCGCTGCAACTAGAGAAAGCCCATGCACAGCAACGAAGACCCAACACAGCCAAAAATAAATTAAATAAATAAATATATTAAAAAATAAATAAAGTGAGAATAATGCATCTTTACTATTTGCCAAAATGAAACTAGCTTTTTGGATTCAGTTTCCTAACTGGAATTATCACATCATTTACTATATTATGTAGCCAATTTCAGTGTATTATCAATGAAGCTGCTATGATTTTCCCAGACGTAGAATGATACACAACCTTAACACTGCTTCTATTTATTAACTCAAAAAAAGTAACACCATGAGTGAAGTCAGTCTTAAAAAATTAGTACTACTAACTTAGACAGGTATCAGATACTTCTTATTTTGGAGAATTTGCCTTTTCAAACAAAAGAACATAAAATATTGATTTTCCAACTAGAGAATTACCTGTCTTTAAGCCTTAGAGGTCTGTCAATATAATGATCACTTAAAGGTCTATAATCCTACAGCACAGGCCTAACTTAACTATTTTCAATGAGTCAATGTCAAGCAAAAACTAATTACTACAGATTAAAAGGGAATGCAGATCAAGGGAAATGCAATGCACAGTTTAAACAAACCAGTTGTAAACTACACTTTTGAGACAACTAAGGAAAACTGAATGTGTACTAGGTGTTAGATAACATGAAGGAATTATTTAAAACAAAAAATGTTCTCTAAAAATTGCTACTTCCTATACTCTCGCCTTGACAAAAACTAAATAAGGAGAAAATAACACGAATAAGTTTTTCAAGGTAAAACCAATTATGGAGAGGAAAATCATTATGGTAGGTTTCAAATAAGTAGTAAGAAATATTAATGAAATGTAGAGAAAAAATACTGACCTATAAAGTTCAAAAGTAACATTTCTACTTGACAGACTAAGAATCAACTAGTAATCACCAACAGTTATTCCTATCAAAAGAAATTAAGACTAAACCAAAAATCTGAACTGGTGCATCTCATCCATTACACACCATATGACAGGTGTTATTCTGTCACAGCCAGTGAATCATAAGTTCCAGCCCATTCAATTGTCCAATTATGAAAAATGATACTACACAAACAAATGGAAAGATACACTGTGTTCATGGATTGTAAGAATTATTACTGTTAAAATGACTGTACTACCAAAGGCAATCTACATATTCAATGTAATCCTTATCAAAATACCTATGGCATTTTTCACAGAACTAAAACAAATAATGTTAAAATTTGTATGGAAACACAAAAGACCCCAAATAGCTAAAACGATCTTAAGAAAGAACAACAAAGCTGGAGATATCACGTGCCCTGATTTGAATCTATATTACAAATCTACAGCAATCAAAACAGTATGGTACTGGCACAAAAACAGACATATAGATCAATGGAACAGAATAGACAGCCCACACTTACATGGTCAATTATCTATTACAAAAGAGGCAATACATAACAGGGAAAAGAGAGCCTCTTCAATAAATGGTGCTGGGAAAACTGGACCGCTACATGCAGAAGAGTCAAACTGGATTACTTTCTCACACCATATACAAAACTAAACTCAAACTGTATTTAAGACTTAAATGTGAGGTGGGAAACCATAAAACTCCTAGAAGAAAACATAGGCAATACACTCTTTGACAACCAGATTAAAAAATGGGCAGAAGATCTGAATAGACATTTTCCCAAAGAAGACATACAGAGAGCCACCAGACACAGGAAAAGATGCTCAACATCACTAATCATCAGGGAAATGCAAATCAAACCACAATGAGATATCAACTCACACTTGCCAAAAAGACTATTATTGGGGACTACCCTGGTGGTCCAGTGGTGGAGAATCCATCTTGCAATGCAGGGGATGCCGGTTCAATCCCTGGTTGGGGAACTAAGATCCCACATGCCGTGGGGCAACTAAGCCCACCACCACAACTACAGAGCCCACGTGCTCTGGAGCCCACACACCACAACTACAGAGCTTGTGCTCTCTGGAGCCCGCGTGCCACAACTAGAGAGCCTGCATGCCGCAACTACTGAGGCTACGCACTCTGGAGCCTGTGCATCACAACTAGAGAGAAGCCCACACACAGCAACAAAGAGCCCGTGTGCCACGATGAATGATCCTACTTGCCGCAACTAAGACCCGATGCAGCCAAAAAATAAATAAGTAAATAAATATTTTTAAATAGACTATTATCAGGCTTCCCTGGTGCAGCAGTGGTTAAAAATCCACCTGCCAACGCAGGGGACATGGGTTCCAGCCCTGGTCTGGGAAGATCCCACATGCCGCGGAGCAACTAAGCCCATGCACCACAACTACTGAGCCTGCACTCTGGAGCCTGTGAGCCACAACTACTGAGCCCCTGTGCCACAACTACTGAAGCCTGTGTGCCTAGAGCCCATGCTCTGCAACAAGAGAAGCCACCACAATGAGAAGCCCACACACTGCAATGAAGAGTAGCCCCCACTTGCCGCAACTAGAGAAAGCCTGTGCGCAGCAACGAAGACCCAATGCAGCCAAAAATAAATAATTTTTTAAAAAATGACTATTATCAAAAAGACATAATTGGCTATACTCCAATATAAAATAAAAAGTTAAAAAAAAGACTTGAAAAAAAAGACAACAAATAAGTACTGATGAGGAGAAATGGGAACCCTCACGCACTGTTGGAGGGAATGTAAATTGATACCACTATGGAAAACAGGATGGCAGTTCCTCAAAACATTAAAAATGGAACTGCCATATAAGCCAGCAATTCACTCCTGGGTACTTTTCCAAAGAAAACAAAAACACTAATTCGAATAGATATATGCACTCCCATGCTCACTGCAGCATTATTTACAGTAGCCAAGATATGGAAGCAACTTAAGTGTCCACTGATTAGATGAAAAGATAAGGAATATGTGGTATGTATACACACTAGCATAAAAAAGAATGAAATTTTGCCATTTGTGACAACATGGATGGACCTAGAGGCTATTAAGCTAAGTGAAATAAGTCAGACAGAGAAAGACAAATACCATATGATTTCACTTATACGTGGAATCTAAAAAACAAGACAAATGAACAAACAACAAAACAGAAGCAGAGTCATAGACATAGAGAACAAAGGTGGTTGCCAGAGGGAAGGTAGGAGGAGTGAAATAGGTAAGGAAGATTAAGACGTATAAACTTCCAGTTACAAAATGAATGAGTCACATGGATGAAATGTACAACATGAAGAATACTCTCAATAATATTGTAATAATTTTGTATGGTGACAGATGGTAACTAAAGTTATCACGGTGATCATTTTGTAATGTACAGAAATATCGAATCATTATGTCATACACCTGAAACTAACACAGTGTAGGTCAATGATAATTTCAATTAAAAATTTTTAAAAAGAATCTAATCACAAGAAACCCTAAAGTAGCACTGTACCAATGACCTTGCAGCAAAGAACTCTAAACCAAAGGGCAAAATAAACAGTGACCTAAAAACTCAAAAAATGTGTCTACCACCATCTTAAAGAGATTTAGGTTATGATGATTTTATTAGTCATTCTATTTCATAAATTCTCACCTCTTTTGGTGTTTTATGAGCTGCACAAAGAAAAATCCATTGTTCAGTTGCTGTCATCTGAGTGCATGTATCTGGATGGCATTCACTCTGTTAAAATAGTTACATTTATTAATATGTAAAATAATAATGAAAAAGTTTATCATCTGAGTCGCTACATCTCATGTAAAATTCTAGAATAAATTAAAAATTTGGGTAAGTCTTTGTAAGCACATTAATTTACAAAAACAGAAAAAAAAATCAGAACTTTCAATTATAGCTTTAACTTAAAGAAAATATTACCTGAAGTTTCACAGCAAGTCCATTTAGCTCAAGACAGAATTGCCTAAAAATGTAAATATATAAATGAAAAGTCTCATCTTCCATATTATTTTTAGAATATTAATTGTAAAAACAGAATCCCATCAGTACCATCCTTCCTCCCTCATCATCATTATCAATACCACCTGAACTTACATGGCACATTCCTTACAAAGACATACACATTAGTAAACAAAACCCAAAACTAACAACCCTAACAATAATGTTCAATATCAGAGTTCAGTGAGTTGATTACTGTTACACACTGGAAATTGGTACAATTTTTCTGAGAAATACTTTGAAAATATTTACCAAGACCCTTACAAAGTGTATATATTTTTAACTAAGTCATTCTCCTAAGAATCTATTCTAATGAAATAATCAGAACTGCAATGCAGACATATGTATAAAGATGTTCACTGAAACTATATACATAAAAAATTTCTTTGAAACATTATAAATGATTAGCAATTGGAGAGTAGTGAACTGTCGGTATTACATAAACATACAAAGGATATATACTTATATTCACAGTAAGATTCCAGCTATGTAAAAATTCACGTGTGTGTACATATCTGTATACAGAAAATCAGAAGAAAGACTAGACGTTTTATATTCCTATATATTATACAGGTTTTATTCTGATTACAAACAACATGCTCCTTCTAAAAACTCCAAACAGGACCAAATACAAAATATAAAACAGGAAAGTCCTCCGTACTTCCATGACCTCTTCCCGAAAGACAGTTATTGTTTACATGCAAATCTGATTTTCTCTGGATAGATTAAAATATATTGGAATCATATCATACACAATTTCATAACTTGCTTTTTTGTCACTTAATAGATCTTGGGCATTTTTTCATGACTTACTTTCCCTCTAAAATTGTCAAACTGAGAATTATAAAGCCTAGAACAATGCTTGGATTGTTCCTACAATAGTTAAGTGCTCAAAAAATATTTTTGAATAAACGAAAAATGGAGCAAATTACATGACATTTAGATCATTTTTAGACAGACTTGCTATTTGACATGAAAAGACAATTAATCCTTTATGTCATAAAGATACTTTATGTTGTCAAAGTACTGAATGTGTTCCCTCTAAAAATCTATCAAATTAATCGGTATGTTTCCCCATCAAACAAACGAATACACTGTGGTTCCGCAAATACGCAAGGCTAAAACCTATAATTAGAAGATAAAAGAGAGTTCCAAAAGAAAAACAAAAAACCCAAAACACTGCACATATGTGAAAGGAAAACTATATTTATTTATTTATTTATTTATTTATAACATACATTAAAATAGAAGAAAGCAAATTAAAAAACAAGGGTCAAATTTTCAGTTGTCTATAACTGTACTTCCTTTCCAGATGCCTAATAATGCTGTTCTTAGATTATACAAATAACACTATTTCTGAATCACCACATAGTCCTCTACTGCCCCATATCTGTAAGTTGCATGTTATGTGTTTCTGAGTTGTTTTCTACTAAGTGGTAATAAAGACAGGTGGTGATAAACAAGTTTCTCATCTAGTCCAACCTACTTATGGCCAACAGGAAAATTAAGCTAACTGACTTGGCAGTGCTATAGGTACAATCTGTGGCAAATAGTGCAAACCTAACAGCTTCAAGTTAATTCAGTATAGGACTAACACACATAGTTATGCAGCTGAAAAGACAAGCCAGAGCTGAAATCTAGGCTACACTCTAGTCACTAAGCCATGCATACTAGCATGGGATTACAACCACTAGAGGAAGGGGCATCTTTTCCTAATTACAAATATTCAGTAGGGAGTAGTGGGAGATTCGACTGAGGTCATGATTCAATTCCCATTGACATCATAATATAATCAATTGCATTAATCAGTAACAGCAAGTATTAAGCCTCAAATCAGTAACATTAAGCACATGCAAAAAAAAAATCAAACTGCTTTTAAAACTCTTCTTGGTCAACTATAAAGATGTATACACTATAATAAAGAGAAAAAAGAATATATATGTCATATATAATACATAAATTATACAAAACAAAAAAAGTGGTTAATATCAAAAAAAACCCCAAAAGTAATAACAATAGCACCAGGACAAATGGAATATGAATAAGAAAGATTTTACAAGTTTTGTATAATGCAGATTTCATAGTCTAAGTTAAATAGGGAGGAAAATGTCTTTCTTAGATCTGAAATAAAAACCTTGTAAATTAAAATGAACCCTCACTTTCTAGGAATTATGCTTACAGTGAAAAAAACACACTTGCTTATTTTCATCATTCATCCCATAGGTAAGGAAGTAGTTATTTTCAAAGCTGATTAAAAAAAGACAGAGGATATATTATACTAAAGTGCTCTCTATATTTATAAGAATGGCATAACATCTACATACTCATGCTTTCAATTATCATGCATCGAGATGTATTAAAAAAAAAAAACTCAATCAAGTAGTCAAGTGACTTGCCCAAGAAAATGGCAGATTACAAAGAAGTCTCAGCATCCTGACACTGCTGAACGGTTAGGACAAGACACTGTCTTAACAATATCTAGACAAGCCTATAGCATCAAAACAAAACAACAGAAAAAGTACCTTGTCTACAAATTGAGGCACTCATCACAGGAAATGTGGTCTAATTTATTCAGGAAAAGTCATATCTCTACTCCACCTTATTATCTAAAAATCAACTCAAAGTAACCAACTCTGATGAACACATATCTCATAAAGCATACTCTATTTTTAATGTATCAACTTATCCTAGCTCCCATTTACAATGGAAAGTTTATAACTTCAAGAAATAACCTAGTAGCTTCAGAATACAACTGCTTCTAAAGTTAACTCATGATTCATTAGAAATCAATTTTCTCATTCAAAGGATATTATGAAAAGCTCTAAAACTTCTTACTTCAGGATTATAATTCATCTCCATTTACCAAACGAAAGACTGGAAGGTCAAACTAGTTACCAGGTAACTCATCAGTTACCAAGTCTAGACTAGGACCTCTAGAGAGAAATAAAGTAGGTAAGTAGTAGGTAGTAGAAATGAGTAAGTACATGGAAATAATGCATCTGTGATTAAATGATGTGATTAAGGAAAACCATGTAAAAAGATAATAAGGCCCAAATTCATAAATATAGAAAACAATGGGTAAATAACAACGTTGAAAACTTTATAACTTAAAAACATAAAAGCTTTAGAACTTTGCTTTTTGGTCTGTAGTTAACTAATTTATGATTCATAATCATCAATATTAAAGGTTATTTTTTACTACTAGGAGTACTATTACTATTTTGATACATAATAAAGACCTACCTTAAATGTTCATACTTCCATACACCTTCATCTTGGCCTTCAGGTGGTTCAAGAATTTTGTCAATATTGGAACAATCTGCTCTTATATTCTGTTGAATATACTACAAACAAAGAAGTTCTTACAGTTAATTAAAATATACCACATGATAAATCTTATGAGAGTTATTATTGTTTAATGGGTACAGAGTTTCAGTTGGGGAAGATGAAAAAGTTCTAGAGATGGAGGTGGTAATGGTTGCAAAACAATGTGAATGTACTTAATGCCACAGAATTGTACACTTAAAAATGGCAAAAGTGATAAATTTTATGTTATATATTTTTTACCACAATAAGAAAAAGCAGAGTAAACACTGAACAAGAAAATCCAAAGAAATCCATGCCCAGAGGTAATCAAACTGCCAAAAACTAAAGATAAAGAAGCCAGTGGGGGTGAGTGAGAGTGTGTGTGTGTGTGTGTGTGTGCATGTGTGTGTGTGTGCGTGTGTGTGTAAAGGATCCAGCGAAAAAAGAGACACATGACCTATAGAAAAAGGATTCAAATGAGTGCAGCTTTCTCACCAGAAAACACAGATGACAGGAGGAAATGGCAGAACACGTTTAAAGTGCTGAAAGAAAAGAACTGTCAACCTCTGTATCTAGCAAAAATACCCTTCAGGAATGAAGATAAAGATATTTTCAGATGAAAGAAAACTACGGAGGTTTACTGAGCTCTGCCCACCAGAGCAACAACCAACTCTACCGACCACCAGTACCCGCCATCAGGAAGCTTACATATATTTAAGTGATATATTTAAAGTGATGAAAGGGAAGCAACTACAACCAAGATTACTCTACCCAGCAAGGATCTCATTCAGATTCGATGGAAAAATGAAAAGCTTTACAGACAAGCAAAAGCTAAGAGAATTCAGCACCACGAAACCAGCTCTACAACAAATGCTAAAGGAACTTCTCTAAGTGGGAAATGCAAGAGAAGAAAGGACCTACAAAAACAAACCCATAACAATTAAGAAAATGGCACAGGAACATATATATCGATAATTACCTTAAACGTGAATGGATTAAATGATCCAACCAAAAGACACAGGCTCACTGAATGGATACAAAAACGAGACCCATATATATGCTGTCTACAAGAGACCCACTTCAGACCTAGGGACACATACAGACTGAAAGTGAAGGGATGGAAAAAGATATTCCATGCAAAGAGAAATCAAACAAAGCTGGAATAGCAATACTCATATCAGATAAAATAGACTTTAAAATAAAGAATGTTACAAGAGACAAGGAAGGACACTACATAATGATCAAGGGATCAACTGAAGAAGAAGATATAACAGTTATAAACATATATGCACCCAACATAGGAGCACCTCAATACATAAGGCAACTGCTAACAGCTATAAAAGAGGAAATCGACAGTAACACAATAATAGGAACTTTAACACCTCACTTACACCAATGGACAGATCATGCAAATAGGAAATTAATAAGGAAACACAAGCTTTAAGTGATACAATACACCAGATTTAACTGATATTTATAGGACATTCCATCTGAAAACAGCAGATTACATTTTCTTCTCAAGTGCACACAGAACATTCTCCAGGACAGATCACATATTGGGTCACAAATCAAGCCTTGGTAAATTTAAGAAAATTCAAATCATATCAAGCATCTTTTCCAACCACAACGCTATGAGATTAGAAATCAATTACAGGGAAAAAGACTTAAAAAACTCAATACATGGGCTTCCCTGGTGGCGCAGTGGTTGAGGGTCCGCCTGCCGATGCAGGGGACGCGGGTTCGTGCCCCGGTCCAGGAAGATCCCACGTGTTGCAGAGGGGCTGGGCCCGTGAGCCATGGCCGCTGGGCCTGCGCGTCCAGAGCCTGTGCTCCGCAACGGGAGAGGCCACAGCGGGGAGAGGCCCGCGTACCGCAAAAACAAAAACAAAAACAAAAACAAACAAACAAAAAAAAAACTCAATACATGGAGGCTAAACAATACATTGCTAAATAACCAAGAGATCACTGAAGAAATCAAAGAGGAAATCAGAAAATACCTAGAGACAAATTACAACAAAAACACGACAATCCAAAACCTGTGGGATGCCGTAAAAGCAGTTCTAAGAGGGAAGTTTATAGCAATACAAGCCTACCTCAAGAAACAAGAAAAATCTCAAACAAACAATCTAACCTTACACCTAAAGCAACTGGAGAAAGAAGAACAAACAAAACCCAAAGTTAGTAGAAGGAAAGAAATCACAAAGATCAGAGTAGAAATAAATGAAATAGAAACAAAGAAAATGATAGCAAAGATCAGTAAAACTAAAAACTGGTTCTTTGAGATGATAAACAAAATTGATAAACCTTTAGCAAGACTCATCAAGAATAAGAGGGAGAGGACTCAAATCAATAAAATTAGAAATGAAAAAGGACAAGTTACAACAGACACCACAGAAATACAAAGCATCCTAAGAGACTACTACAAGCAACTCTATGCCAATCAAATGGAAAACCTGGAAGGAATGGACAAATTTTTAGAAAGGTATAACCTTCCAAGACTGAACCAGGAAGAAACAGAAAATATAAACAGACCAATCACAAGTAATGAAATTGAAACTGTGCTTAAAAATCTTCCAACAAACAAAAGTCCAGGACCAGATGGCTTCACAGGTGAACTCTATCAAACATTTAGAGAAGAGCTAACACCCGTCCTTCTCAAACTCTTCCAAAAAATTGCAGAGGAAGGAAAACTCTCAAACTCATTCTATGAGGCCATCATCACCCTGATACCAAAACCAGACAAAGACACTACAAAAAAAGAAAATTACAGACCAATATCACTGATGAATATAGATGCAAAAATCCTCAACTAAATACTAGCAAACAGAATCCAACAACACTTAAAAAGGATCATACACCATGAGTGGGATTTATCCCAGGGATGCAAGGATTCTTCAATATATGCAAATCAATTAATATGATACACCATGAAGAATAAAAACCATATGATCATCTCAATAGATGCAGAAAAAGCTTTTGACAAAATTCAACACCCAGTTATGATAAAAACTCTCCAGAAAGTGGGCATAGAGGGAACATACCTCAACATAATAAAGGCCATATATGACAAACCCACAGCAAATGTCATTCTCAATGGTGAAAAACTGAAAGCATTTCCTCTACGATCAGGAACAAGACAACGATGTCCACTCTTGCCACTACTATTCAACACAGTTTTTGAAGTCCAGGCCATGGCAATCAGAGAAGTAAAAGAAATAAAAGGAATACAAGCTGGAAAAGAAGAAGTAAAACTGTCACTGTTTGCTGATCACATGATACTATACATAGAGAATCCTAAAGATGCCACCAGAAAACTACTAGAGCTAATCAATGAATTTGATAAAGTTGCAGGATACAAAATTAATGCACAGATATCTCTTACATTCCTATACACTAACAATGAAATATCAGAAAGAGAAATTAAGGCAACAATCCCATTCACCACTGCAACAAAAAGAATACAATATGTAGGAATAAACCTACATAAGGAGGTAAAAGACCTGTACTCAGAAAACTGTAAGACACTGATGAAAGAAATCAAAGATGACACAAACAGACAAAGAGATATACCATGTTCTTGGATTGGAAGAATCAATATTGTGAAAATGACTATACTACCCAAAGCAATCTACAGATTCAATGCAATCCCTATCAAATTACCAATGGCATTTTTTACACAGCTAGAACATAAAATCTTAAAATTTGTATAGAGACACAAAAGACCCCAAATAGCCGAAGTGGTCTTGAGAGAAAAAAAACAAGCTGGATGTATCAGTCTCCGTGACTTCAGACTATATTACAAAGCTACAGTAATCAAGACAATATGATACTGGCACAAAAACAGAAATGTAGATCAATGGAACAGGATAGAAAGCCCATAGATAAACCCACGCACCTACAGTCAACTAATCTATGACAAAGGAGGCAAGGAAATACAATGGAGAAAAGACAGTCTCTTCAATAAGTGGTGCTGGGAAAACTGGACGGCTACAAGTAAAAGAATGAAATTAGAACACTCCCAAACACCATATACAAAAATAAAATCAAAATGGGTTAGAAACCTAAATGTAAGACTGGACACTATAAAACTCTTAGAGGAAAACATAGGAAGCACACTGACATAAATCACAGCAAAATCTTTTTTGATCCACCTCCTAGAGTAATGGAAATAAAAACAAAAACAAATGAGACAAAAAAAAAAAAAATGAGACCTAATGAAACTTAAAAGCTTTTGCAAAGCAAAGTACACTACAAACAAGACAAAAAGACACCCCTCAGAAGGGGGAAAAATATTTGCAAATGAATCAATGGACAAAGGATTAATCTCCAAAATATAAAAACAGCTCATGCAGCTCAACATTAAAAAAACAAACAACCCAATCCAAAAATGGGCAGAAGACATTTCTCCAAACAAGACATGCAGATGGCCAAGAAGCACATGAAAAGCTGCTCAACATCACTAATCATTAGAGAAATGCATATCAAAGCTACAATGAGGTATCACCTCACACCAGTTAGAATGGGCACCATCAGAAAATCTACAAACAATAAATGCTGCAGAGGGTGCGGAGAAAAGAGAACCCTCTTGCACTGCTGGTGGGAATGTAAATTGATACAGTCACTATGGAGAACAGTATGGAGCTTCCTTAAAAAACTAAAAACAGAACTACCATATGACCCAGCAATCTCACTACTGGGCATATACCCAGAGAAAACCATAATTCAAAGACACATGCACCTCAGTGTTCATTGCAGCACTATTTACAATAGCCAGGTTATGGAAGGAACCTAAATGCCCATCAACAGACAAATGGATAAAGAAGATATGGTACATATATACGATGGAATATTACTCAGCCATAAAAAGAAACAAAATTGAGTTACTTGTAGTGCGGTTGTTGGACCTAGAGTCTGTCATACAGAGTGAAGTAAGTCAGAAAGAGAAAAATAAATGTCGTATATTAACGCATGTATGTGGAACCTAGAAAAATGGTACAGATGAACCAGTATGCAGGGCAGAATCAGAGACACAGATGTA